CAGAGTCAAGAAGACTGCATGTTGGATCGGGCGCAAGTGGTTGACGCAGCGTGAACCTGCACCTATGCGTGCTACCACAGCCCCTGTGTGCTGTACTTGTTTTCATCAAACTGTAATTGTCTGGCTTCTTTGAATCGTCATCCAAAATCCACCAGAATGACTACTAGGCACTCTTAATTATTAGGAGGGGCTTGGTAGATTTTAATAGCTTACTTGATCCAATTTTGAAAATTTCGTGGCCTCGGTGGGATTTGAAGACACATCAGGTCTACAAAAGTACTACAAGAACTGTGTAATGTAATAATCTGACAGCCTCAGAGAAGAGGGAGACAAGCAGGAGAAAACATGCTTCTGACACTTGACCGAAACCACATTGCTTCGAGGTGCGGTATGACCTTCGCTGGAAACTGAGCTACGCCATCTGGCAGCGTTGGAGTAACGTGGTTTGCGTATCGTGAGTCTGCTGTGGTTTAGTACAGTGGCTGGCACAGTTAAAAAGCCGCTCAGAAGTTCCGCCCGCAGAATGTACCAGGATTTTACGACAGTGGCACGGATCTCATATGTGTGAGAGAGTACCTTTCGCTCAGTCCTGCGGAGACTCGCATTTTCTCTTGGGTCGGCAGCCTTCCAAATCAGGACATTCAGTGTACCTTTAAAGAGTCAAGCATGTAGTGGAGAAGGATTGCCCGAGGCCGATCTCCCTAGCTGTTTTTTCTCTCAGATAGTGGACCCACTCCTTCTTAACACAGGTGGCCTTGCGCACCTTTTCAGGGAGAGTATGGTAAGGATTAAGGCTGTAACGCGAGAATAGGTATCCTTCTTGGAATTTAGCGCAAGGTAAACTCTATGCTGGGATTGCTTTTGTAAGAAGGAGACATCTTAAACAGCAGTAGGACAAGGTCCAACAGGTGCTCCACAGCAGGTTGGTACAGACACGGTGACTTGCGCTGAATCTTCCTCACCCTCGGTTGCACTCTTTTACCTGGGTCCACTGTCAAGACAGAGGCAAGAAAACCGGTGAAGGCAGAGTGTGCAGGCACACGCACTGTAGGACACTACAACAAGGAAAACCACAGCAACCTTGGGGGCGGCCTAGGTCCCGACCGAGTGAGAGTGCCATAGAGGTAATATTAAG